TCCCAACCACCCCCAAAAACTCAGGCTAGGGAAGATGACGAGTTAGATGAGCTATAAAGGTCCTGCGACCTTTATAACAGTGATGATAATCTACCATTTTAACAAGACGTTAGGAACGCCCCTATATTGAACCACTCCACGCTCCCTAAAATTCTCAAATATGATGGAAAAGACGATTTTGTGAAGCATATCAAGAGGAGCCACCCGACCATGAAGTGTAGAACATTCCACTTAAACCTAAGTGGAGCTGCTAAAATATGGTATACTAGACTTTCGGAAGAAAGCATCCGAAGTTGGCTAGACTTCAAAAAAACTTTCCTTAAGCGCTTTACAACGAGCAAGGAAGGTAAATGGCCAATACAGCGCTTACAAGACATGAAACAGCAACATAACGAGTCATTCCTGTCCCGTTTCACTGATGAAATGACCTACTGTGTGAAAGGATAGATAGGGAAGCTCTGACAGCCCTATGGGGAGGATTGGACATGAACTCTCTTTTCTGGAAAGATGTGCAAAACAAAGGCCCTACTAGTTATGATGTCTTACTGCAAATTATAAGGCGAGAGATCATCAATGAAAAATTGAGAGGTCACAGAAATAGGGCAAACTAAGGACTCCCACCTCCTCAAATGCAAAGAAGAAGAGACCCAACCTCGTACTTGATGGATCACCAGGTTGGACTGTCGACTTCTCTCAATCTAGGACAAGCATTGGTTGCATCAACATTAAGTGTAGTGCCTACCTTGGCTTATGAAGAAGTGAATCCTGATACAGAAATGTACTAGGGCAAACCCTACCAACAATTTTCCCAAATAGGAAGAGGTAGGGGACGAAGTGCTCATTTATTGTACATACCACCACTTATCTAGCCACAACATTGTCGGCTATAGAGATATTGTAGTACATCTTCAGAATAACACTCACTGTCTTTTTGAAATATGGCCAGCTACGGATGATCCATTTCGATTGTCCAGTGTACCATATTTCAGCCGCTTCACTTAGGGTTAAGTGGAAAGCTCTACACTTCATGGCTAAGGTGGCTCCTCTTAAATTCATGTGAATTTTGAAGCTATTCAAATGCTTCGCAGGGTCACATTTCTC